ATAGCAAAGGGTAGTTTGAACAGGATGATTGTGGCAGCTCAGTCCTGACTTCAAAATGTTGAAGGGGTCCTAGCAAGCTTTTAAGTCTGTTTTGAGAATGTCTGCCCTGCTTCAGTCGAGTTTTCACAGCTGACCTGGAGTCACAAAACTTAAGTGTTAAGAACCTTGCAAAATCGTCTTCCTAAATACACTAAAGAGAAGGGAATAAAGCTGGATTTTGTTCTTTTCCTCAAGATTTAATGGAGATACCCATATGAGCGAAGTTCATACTTGCTCTGCAAGTACACGTAATCTTATTTTACAGGAATTAAAAAAATTAACTTAATGGGAGTTTCTTCTGTTTCCAGGGGTGAACGTTACTTCCTCCTTCCACTGGTCGAGGTCTCAAAGCTTGAGATCAGTTTTCTAACTAACTCTGCTCATGCAGCCACCCAGAAAAGCTCAATGGCACCCTTGGTTCTCTTTCTTCAAATAGAATAAAACGTAGAGAAAATATTTTCAGAAGAAGTTAAGCAAACTGAGCCTTCCTTTTCATGTAGTTATTGCTGAAAGTGAGAATTATGCCTTGAGGTTGTGTTCTGAGATGTTCTAAATTAACTCAAGATGTGTCCTCATCCAAACGGCAAGTGTTTCTTTCAGACGGGGGACTTGCAGTTTCATCAGGTCCTTTGAGCCTCCTCTATAAGCAGTCCAACTGGTGTTTCCATTCCTAATGGCTGTAGTCACAGTCCCAGAAGTTTCTTTTCTATGAAGAAATAGTTGGACTGAATTCAAACTTTGGGTTTTTTTAAACTCTGAAATTGAACTCTTGATGCAACTCACAAGCAATTGCTCTGTACAAATGTTTCTTCTAAAATACCAAACCTTACAAAAACCCTTCTGGGACAAGTGATCCTCCTTGCCCTTCGGAAGGAGGAGATTGGTTGTATAAATGGAGCAGTCTCCTCCTAATAGAGCTGCTTTCTTTTGAATGTCCATGACAATTAATAGTTTATGGTCTAATAACATAAATATTCCTGTGTTATTCCCTGAGGGTAATTTCTTTTTCTTTTTTCCCCTCCTTTTAAACAGGAGCAACTTCATCTATGGCTCATACTTAAGTAAAGAAGAAATCGCTTTCTCTGACCCCACTCCTGATGGAAAGCTCTTTGCAACACAGTACTGTGGCACCGGCCAGTTCCTGGTATACAACTTCCTCAATGGACAGCACCAGACTTAACCACTCCCGAAGGAATTCCGTTTTTATCGGGAGACTTCTGCCAAATGCACTGGGTGGGTGCAGACCTTCAGCAGAAGCCAGGGCCATTTTTATTACAGTGAACTCAGGACTGGTAACAACCGAGAGGTTGTACTATTTTATTAAAATTGTAAACAATGCAGTAATAGGCGAACTTTGTTTTTCTAAAAGAAAGATATTTTATTAACTTTTGCAAAAGTTTGATTGTATTTTATCTAGTTAGTCATGTTTACATGCAGCAGAAAATTGTTCATAGTGGACTGTAAACTAATGCAAAGACTCTAGTCTCCTTGATGAGTACATGCTGAAGTTCTTAATGTGGTGATATACCAGTGCATGACGGTGCTGTAGCACTGGTCTGCTGCCACCCTACCAGCAGTGGTTGCTGGCTGGACAGAGTTGGAGGTTACACTCAGTTGCCTTGAGGCAAGAAGCCTTCCAGTGGAGTCCTTGTGGGTGACAACCCTCAGAGACTGCACAGTGGTTCCTGGGGTGTGTGCTGGGCCCAACTGGCTTCGAGGGAGCCTGCGAGGTGGCAGCAGCATTGGCAACTTATTCTACCCCCCTGCCTCTTCTCCCCCAGATGAGCTGTAGGGTAAAAGGCAGAATGAAAGCCCCAGGAACTGGTGTAATCATCATTTTCCTTCAAGTACTGTACTGAGTATATACCTTTGTTAGTGGACTTCGCTTTGATACTTGTCACTCCTTCATAAATCTCTTTTAAAGGGTTTCTATGTTGAAAAACTGCTGTGGCCTTTCTTGATCTGTACATAATGTAGATAGGTTAAAAATAAAATACTTGATAGCTTTTTTTAAAGGTACTTTGGATGGTACTAAGTGTGAATGAATCTTCAGTGTATTTCGTACTTTTGCCTGTGAAATACTCCTTTAGTGGCTAATGGCAGCATGTGTTTTGAAGCAGTCTCTGGAGAACACGGAACTCCATTTGTGACAGTGCCTTTGTGGATCAGTGCCCCGGGAGCCCAATGTCAGCACATACAGAGCTTACAGTAAGGTGAGAGGTGATGCCTTCAGCCTCGAGTAACAGCTTAAAACCCTGATGAGGAATGTTTAACTAAATTTAAACTTACGGTTTAATTTTGAAACCCATGTGCAGTTTAGGTGTGCTTGTTCATGCTGTGCTGTCCTTAACCTTGGCCTAGAGGTAAAGCAAAGAGCTCACACCACCTCCACACTGCTACTCAGGCTGCTTACAGCTGCGGTAGCAGAACTGTGGTGAATTGTCATTTCCAAGGCGCTTGTGAGGAGAGCCTGAAGGGCTTTGTCAAAAGTGATGCAGGTTCACCAACAATCCAATGGTGACCGTCCCTGAAGGGCTTAGAAAGCAAGTGCACCTGTTAAGAGAGAGGCAGTCTTAAATGGTAACTTAATATATTCAAATTTAATGAAAGCACATTATAAACATACCATAGCCACAACTTCAGACAGTTTCAGTTCATAAACAATAACATGAGGTAGACTGACTAGTGAAGCTAAATTCACCAAGTTTTTGGTTAAGAAAACTTTACACTAGGAAAGCAACATTTTTAACCCTCTTCCAAAAGTCACAAAAAGCAATTACATAAGTTAAGCAAAAAAGCATCTGCATATGATTCTTTAAATCTTAGTTTACATTCAGATTTAACCTGTGAATAGACAAGAACATCTACAGGTAAAATATAACGCTGGCCAATTGAATACATTCATAGGGATGGCCATGAGAGTGAGGCTTAAAACCAAACTGGGATAGCGATGAGCTAAGTGTCAAATAATGCTGGAGCATGTTGGGAGGACAAGCCTCCCCCTCCAGTGCTGGCTCAGGGCAGCCTGGCCAGAGTGTTACCGAAACTCCTCGCTTCCAGGCAGGGGAGAGTTAAGGAGATGGGTTTACTATTACTTGGTAAAGGCAGGCAAATACACTGCCTAGCTGACAGTGTGCTCAACCTCAGGGACGATTTTGCACTGCTTCACCAGAGGGCGAACTCCTTGGAGTAGTCTCAGCACCTGGAATTTTAAGAACTTAGTGCAAACATCAAATAGACAAAAAAAAGGAAACCGTTTGTGAACACGTAATACCTGACGCTTCTACTCCACACTGAACTTGGGGTTGGCCCTAAGCCCTTCTGGCAAAACCAGAACTACCAGAATACATTCAGGTGCGTATCAAAAGCTTCAAGAAGCATCTTTTATATTCCTCCTTCTTCCAAGTGTTAAAACAGGTAAGGCAGGCCGTGTCTGAAGGAAAATTAAAAATACGTTTACAGAAATGGGTTGTCCATCAGAAATTTGCTAAATATACAGCATCAGAGCGAAGCTACCTTAACACAGACATATGCAAACCATTATCCTTTGGCCTCTGGCGAATATATTATGTTTTTTCATCTGTAAACATCTCTTTCCACAAGATAAAAAAAGTCGCTTAGTTAACACTATGCTTAAAAAACCACCTCAAGTATGACAACGTGCTCATTTCATTGCTTTTGGGGGAGTCAATTGATATTCCTGAAATGCTTTTCAGAACAGGCTGAGGTTTTATTTTTAATAAAGGGATGCAGGAATTCTTTTGTGCAGGATGATTATTTTTTCTGCGTGGAAACCTCAGCGGGGTAGCTCATGCTAACAGCATGAACAGAAGAGTAGCATTTCAGCTGAACCCTGCAACCAAACGCCACTGCACCGCACTCCTTCCAGAACAACTTCACAAGGATCAGCAATACGCTTGTAAGGAGAACAATGCGCGACTACAGCTACAGCCACTATTTACAGAGGCTAACCAAAAAAAAGTGTCAGGTGATGCATTCCAAGACCTTTGCTTCCGGACAGAATCTCTCCTGAGCAGTCCCAGCCCTCCGCTGGCCCTGTTGTGGGACACCACCTGGTTTGCTCAGATCCAGCCTGGGCATGTTGCCCTCCTGCACATCTCTTGGTATGCTGCTTCACGAATACCTACAAAGTGACAGACCCAGTCTTGGCTCTGCAGACAGCTGAAGTTGAGCAAAAAGGACATGGTGAGTAAGCTGCATATGGCCCACCACTGAGGCACCAATGTACAGGAGGACAATTTCCATATGCAAAGGAGGACAGCCCACAGGTTTTCGAAACGCTTGAGGAGAGTGAGAAACTGGAGGTGAGTTGCTGACGTGTTACTCTAACTGGGGTGGGAGCAGCTATGAGGAGCCTTTTGCTTTGTCCTCAGAGCTTAGGAGGGGGTGCCTAATGGGGTGACTAAGGGTGCTAAGGGGTGCCCGGTGCCTGCCACGCGTTTGCTGATTTGTTCAGGTTCAAGTAGTAAACTTTGAACACCTGTGGAAATTTTGCCAAAGACAGTTTCAATACATACACAATTACAAATTTCAGCTAACACTGCACAGAGAACAAGACTATTCCTTTTAATACAAATATCTACGTTATATTGTAGTTTCAAACCCCTGAGTATTCCTGTACCACAGCACAGAGCTGAAGAGACATGGTGGGCTCTCCTCTATACACCTTCAATAAATGCCACGTGCTGGGTTGCATTTCGTGTAACATTCAAGCTAGCAGCTGCCCAGAGCAGCTGCTTCTTCACCCTACCTCAGCTGAATATAAAAAGGATTCTTCTTCAACTGATTTATGTCCTCTTTTCAGATCCTACAGCTTGGCTGGCTGTGTGATCAGGGTCAGCGGTTGTGGCTGACATGAAAATAACTGGAATCCAGGATCCTTGAACTCATAACTGATGTGGTAATTTTAGCCTTAGGACTAAAGCCTACTTCGGAATTGTGGGGAATCCTTTCGAGCAGTCTAGATAAATATTGGTTGCACTTTGCTCCACAGTGATTGTACTTGTTTTAAAAAACAAAAAGTTCTTTTCTCTTTGTTAGCGGTGTCTTAGCGAAGCTTAGATATGGCGTCCAGTAAGAAAATAGAGAGGTTCATCATCACTACTGTTAGCAGTTTGAAACTCATCTCGAAGTCGGAACTGCCACTCGTCCTCCAGCTCCAGCCGGACTATCGTCTGCCGTAATGAGCTTCTGTCTTGACATATGACACACAAGGTGGCGCCTTCAAGTGAAAAAGTATGTGAGATTCTCAGGGTACCATAATAAATCTCTGATTTCCTTAATTTTCCTAAGCTATTTTGAAGAAATTTGGTCTAGTGGAAGCTGTCCCTTCCCATGGCATGGCGGTTGGGACTAGGTGATTGTTAAGATCTTTTCCAAGCCATTCTATGATTCAATTACCTACACCTGAATCCCAACAGGAACAGAGATATTACACAGTCCCAAAAGAAACACTCCACCTATTTCTTTTGAAAAGAAACAAGGGCAGCAGTAACTGAAAATTATGCAGCTGTTTAGTGAAGCTGGGTATGCCTCTACCTTCCCCTTTTATGCTGTGCTCTTACTTGGCAGGAAAGCACCCAGAGAGCTCAGCAGAGCCAGGAGATTACCTTTCAGAAACCGGAACCGCTTGAGGAGGTCTGCACCAACGAAGGAGTCGCAGAGATAGAGCAGCAGGCCGCTGAAGAACACCCCTTCACAGCTGACGTTGACTGAGTGCGGGCGCGAACTAACATAGCATATGGCCACCTGAAACAGAAGGGGAAAAGAAAGCAAGTACTTCTGAGGGAGAAAATGTCTAAGGATGACTTTAAGTGGAATGGAATATAACTTAGTGATAACGGGCAAGTCAGTTGGTGCTGGTCAAAATATAACCCAACGCGAATGCACTACTGAGCAAACTTCCCCTGGGAAGTAACACACGGGACAAACTTCTAGATTCAGTTTGGTCACTGAAGCACATTTTTTCAAGGTTCTATGTAATTCAGTTCAATTTTCTGCTTCTATATGAATTATAGCAACTGTTAAGATTAGTGAGGTTGTTCTAATAAGGATACATTTGCCAAACACAGTAAGCAGTTCGTGAGTACTGCAACTGCTGAGGCTTGGGCTCCTCCACGCTGGCACACGTCTTCTCTTGCTGACTGCAAGCATCACCTAAGTGGTTCCCAGCACTGGGGTGCTCCTGTGTTTCAGTGCTGTGATGCAGTTCTGCATCAAAGAGGTTTTTCTGTATCTTGCCACTGACCTTCATAAGATTTCCCAGAACAAAAACCCTCTTTAGACTTCCATCCCACTTCAGAGTCAGTTCAAACTGGTCTCCATATCTACATCTAAGGCATATCTGCATACTTTACCCTAGAAACCCGAGTTCATAAAAAGAAAGGCATCTGAAAGGCGAGCTGCGTTGCGAAGGGTGAGCTTCACAATAGTGAAGCAAGGATCATGTCAAACTCTCTCAGCCAAACCGAGTTTGTTGCAAGGACAAATCAAACGCAGATAATTAATAAAAACCTGTATGCTAGAACAGTGACCTAAAAAATTGTGAGGGTAAGTTCTGTACAGAGTACGCAGGACACTGAGTTCTGTCAAGAATGGCATCACTGTGAGCTCTTTGCATCATATGAAATACTAGTTCAGACAGACGTGTCAAATTCCTTTGCAAATCACATTGATCCATCACAGACCACTGGTCTCTACCCACACCAGCCAGCTAGGAGGCTTTACCACTGGCTCTTCCGGTGGAGTTAGTCCTTTAGCTCCCATAGCAGGGTCTCACTGTTTGAGACCAGTCTTCAAACACTACCCTGGCTGCTGAGGGTTCATAAAAGATGGGGTTTTCAACACCAGAAGGGTGCTGAAGTAAAGGTTTGCATTTACTTGTCCGCATCATCCCTTCAGGTATTTGGTACCTCGAGCCCGATGTTCAGGTAGCAGTCAATGGCCAATACCGGGTTCTTGAAGTTATGAATGGCTTTCGGGAAGAGTTTGTAGGTTGCATGTTGGAGGAATTTCTCCAGGAGGAACTGAGATGGAGCTGCCAACAAGGTATGCTCACTGTCAGGGGCGCAGACGTACTGAAGAGGCATTATTGGTGCCAGGCTGTCCGAAACCTGCAACGAAAGCAAGGGGAACCCCTTTTAACCCAGCCAGTAAGTGTATCTTCTCTGCAGGAGATCCTTTAGCTGGGGAAGGGATCGCCATGACATGGCAGGAAGAGAGAGAAAGCTGGGGGAAAGAATCAAAACTCCCCACTCAATTCTGACATAGCACCACAGCACAGAAATAAATGAACTCTGTGTTGTGTGGTTGCTAAGTATTTCTGTGGGTATCTGCCTACCTGAACAAGGGACATAAAATAGGGAGTTCAAACTGTCACAACACCCTTCGTCCTGCCTTACTCCTGGACAGTACAGGAAATGAAATGACATCCTGCTTGTGTGGAGTCATCCACAGAAAACATTCTCTATTGAGCTCTCTCACAGGCCACTCCATCACTACAGATTTCATTGCAACCACAATGAACCACAAGAAAAGGAAAATGCAGAAAATGACCTCCCAAAATACTCAAATCCAGGGTTTAATCAGTTAAATCTGAAATGTGGAGGTCATTTTTTAAAAGAGGGGTGGTGTGGGAAGTGTTTAAAACCAGCAGGAACACAAACCGTAAGATTCCCAGATTAAAATCAACCCTTTGAAGTATGCTTCCATTTAAAGCTGGCAAAAGTGTAACACGATCTGTATAAAATATTCAATATCCCCAAACCATTTTTATCAACACTTGGATTTCGCAGGTGGATTTCAGAAGGTTCCCATTTTCAGCGCCCTTCCTCAGGTCTCTTCTTGTCAGCAAGTGCATGGACTGAAAGTCACCACAAACCAGCAAACACTGGAAACTTGTAGCTGTGCTTAAATTTATAAAACTGGGGCCAGTACAACTTGCCTGTGGTATGTCAGATGTCAATTAACACACATTAAAACTAGAAGGATAGAGAATCTGTCATTCCTTGGGGAAACAGGTCCTGATTTTACTCTTCCTGTATGACAGGGCATACACACACTCACCATGATTTTTGGCTTAACGACAAAGTCCTTTTGTCCTCCAACCTGAATATGTTTCTTCATGACACTGAAGTTGTTGAAGCGGCAGATAAGGAGGCCGCTGCTGTTCGTCCGCAGATTGAAATCTACATCTTCACAGAAATACCTGGGCATTAAACACAAGATCACCCAATCAGCTGTGTGGCTGCTGCGTGTGAACGAACATGCACACTGCCGCTGCCAAAATGCACTGAAATGGGCCAAGGAGAGGTTTTTGGAGGCTGTCTGATGCGGTGCCTATACAAATTCTTTACACAGCTCATTCCTTCAGTGTAGGAAAGCAGTGGTGCTCATAGAATCATAGAATATTTAGGGTTGGAAAGGACCTTAAGATCATCTAGTTCCAACCCCCAATCTTAAAACCAAACAAAACTGCACTTTGCAGTGCGCCTGCATGCTTCTTTCCCATACCAAGCCTGGCTAGCCCTCTCATCCTCAGCATGTGCTGACATCAATCATTTCCTCCCCCTTTCCTTTTTTTTCTCTTTCTTTTTTAGTTCTTCTTTTAATAGATGATTTAGAACAGAGAAGCTCTGCAGTGACCAAACTCTATTTCTAACAAGCCAGTTTCATATAGCATAATTTTTGATGAACTGAATCAGCGGATGTGGCTTTGACAAATATTTGGCTATGGGAGACAAAGAGGCTGAGAAGTAACATTTATTTTGCACTATTCATGATGTAATTACTCACTTCTGTGGGCTGATTTCCACCTCATGATTCAACTGGATGTGAAATCAAGAGCTCTGGAAGTCACACCAGACCCCGGCTTGTCATAGAATGCTTTGGGTTGGAAGGGACCTTAAAGATCATCCAGTTCCAACCCCGTGCCATGGCCAGGGACACCTTCCACTAGACCCGGTTGCTCCAAGCCCTGTCCAACCTGGCCTTGAACACTGCCAGGGATGGGGTAGCCACAGCTTCTCTGGGCAATGTGTGCCAGGGCCTCAGCACCCTCATAGTGAAGAATTTCTTCCCAATATTTAATCTAAATCTCCCCTTTGTGAGCTTAAAGCCATTCCCCCTTGTCCTGTCACTACATGCCCTTGTAAAAAGTCCTTCTCCAGATTTTTTATAGGCCCCTTTTAAGTACTGGAAGGTTTGCACCGACAGACTGCAGTTCCTCACCCAAATATGTATAGATTGCTTACCTGTTCAGATCATATTGCACATTCTGGGTCAGGTCTATGTTGAGCAGTATAAAATCATGCACATGGCACCTGGAGAATGGAGCCTTCGTTTTCCTGGCATTCAGCTTGCTGTTCCATTTCTGAACACCCAGTATTGCATAATGAACAATCTTGGGGGTGGCTTCAATGTGTTGCAGGACACTCTTCAGAGACACATTCTTGCTGGAACCCCCAGGCTCCAGTGACTGGCTGCAAAATATGATCATATACCACATACAAACCTAGCTTATGATTTTTATATAGCATACACTGTGTATATATACACACATTCAGGTGTATACACAGAATCAGGAAATTCCATTAACAATCGAGAGTGTTTACTCTACATACTGTAAAAATATATACATTAATGCATATTTGTTAAACAATAGCCAAGTAATCTTACCCATCAATTTAGTCATTATAAGAAAATGGGCCTTTCAGCAGAACAAGGTCTTACACAGCAATTTAGAAAGGGAAAAGGAATTGCTTTACACACTATTTCTGGAATACTGTTTTCTGCGTAATGGACAGCGTAAGCGCTGAGAAAGGCAAGGGTTTAATGCCTTCTAAAAAGCTAAAGCTCCCAAAATAAACTGTTTTCATTAAGAAACATAAATTGAATCAAAACAAATCATGGGAGTAACATATTGAGAAATCACTCAAATAGCCACTAAAAGCAAGAGTGGTTTTAGACAAAGAGCAAGCACATGCAGAGGTTTGTTGATGGTACGGCCCGTGGGACACGGATGTAAGGCTAGAGCCAGGTGGAAGTGTTCAACAGCAGGAAGTTGAATGTTGGTGGTCAACAAGACAGATCTACAGCCTTCCTACTGCTCCAAGTGAAAGAGCTGATTTTGTGCATTTTAGACAATATAACTAATGTCTAAGTGTACTGTTCCTGAGATAGCCGAATCATAATTGAATGAATAATGTCTTCTGTGAGGCCCTCTGGACAGGCAGCCTGGTGTTATTACATCAAAGCCACTGCCAAAAGCTGTTTGTGCTTAGCAATATTTCAGGTACATTAAGAGCAGCTCCAGCAGTCCAATTTTTCCAGTTGTCTGGTCTTCCATACCCCGTCAGATGCTAGGCATGAGCCTAAAAGTCACAGGTGTGCTGCTGTCTCTGCTGGATCAGAGCAGGGCCCCCAGTGCTGGGTGGTTACCTACCTCGACTGTTCGTGGGCACTGTGCATGTTCCACAAGACGCAGGAGTCGTCCATGACCACGATGAACGGCCACACGCACTGGCGCTTGACTCCCAGTTCCTCCAAGCGGTTCCGTTCCAGTTCTAGATTGTGGTAGGACAGTTCCTTAATAAGAAACCTTGCAGCACCTGAGAAAATACCATCAAGAGATCTTTATTAGACTTTATCACTCTCTTTATTAGACTTTATCACTCTCTTTATTAGACTTTATCACTCTTTATTAGACTTCATCACTCTTTATTAGACTTTATCACTCTCTCTTCCCAGAGAAAGGTTATACCAACATCTGCAGTCATTACCCTTTGTGAATCGTAGAATGGTTTGGGTTGGAAAGGACCTTCAAGATCATCTAGTTCCAACCCCTCTGCCATGGGCAGGGACACCTTCCACTAGACCAGGTTGCTCAAAGCCCCGTCCAACCTGGTCTTGAACACTGACAGGGATGGGGCAGCCACAGCTTCTATGGGTAACCTGGCCCAGTGTCTCACCACCCTCATAGTGCAGAATTTCTTCCTAATATCTAATCTAAATGTCCCCTCTGCCAGCTTAAAGCCATTCCCCCTTGTCCTGTCCCTAAATGCCCTTGTAAAAAGTCCCTCCCCAGATTTCTTCTATTTTAAAAAGAAATCAGTATGTCCCTTTTTCAGTGTGAGTAAATCCAGAAGGCAGATACCAAGAAGACTGGACATTTTAAGAGACTGTGCAGAACATGATTTTGTGGGCATTAATCGAGTAACTTGAACCAGGAAGGGACTGAGATTCTAAACCTGAAGCTACTTAAAACTTCTTGCAGGAAGAACTCAGCATCCATAAAATTGAAGTCCAAAGTTCAAGCCCTCAGTGTTCAGCTGCAGTTAATGTTTAGCTTCAGCTAACTAAAGGAGTTGCAGTCTGAAAAATCACATATAAAATGTCTAGAATGAGCATTTACACAGCAGGGCTGAGTGAACGTGGCCTATAAAACATCAGATTTTAAACTGAGAAGGCAGTAATTGGTGCAAATGTATATTCCACATCCCTAACAGCAGTTCTTACACATCACTGTATTTTGCACTGACACTGCTGCTGTTACTACAGCATATCAGGAGCTGCTGCAATGTTTCCTTCAGCCACACAATCCACATTGTCCAACATGGATTTTGGTATCTTCACACCAATGCATTGAAGGTGTTTCTTACCTACACCAGCATTGTTGAACATGCCGGGCAGGACAAGCATGATGTGGTTGGGCCAGTATTTACGGTACAGTGGCATTTCATACTCTTTCACTACAAGGAGATGAAGGTGGCTGATGCCTTCCATGGCATGGTAGAGGTTCAACAGGCCATGCTCATGACGTCCACTTGATGGAGTGAAGATAGGACTCTTAACTGCATTCAAATTCTGCTGGAACAGAAGGTATTTTGACCACATTAGGTAAAAATCAGGTAATTCCTGATATGGATTTTTATTTATTTATTGTTTATACTGCATTTTAAGATTATTGAGCATTGCAACACATGAGAACTGGACACCGGGAATGAAAAAAGGGATGATTGTTCCCAAAAACTCCAGTTCTAAGGACTGTCGGGCCAGAATTATGCAAAGCACATTAAAACAAAAGGAACACATAAAAAGAAAGTATACACCCTCTACCCCCAGCCAACCACCACTGACTTGCAAACCTCTGTCAAGTTGACTGCATTCAGCACACGCAGCCAGCAGACAGGTAAGAGCGGCACACGCACCTTGTCAGACACGAGAGGGAGACGCATGCTTTCTAGGTGTTTTCCCTGCTTGCTGAAGACAAAATGGTTCTCTTTGGACTTGGGGATTATAAAATGCAGTTGAACCTCTTCTCCTAGCATCGAGGATGAAAACGTGAATGCATGCAGAGTGGAGTCAGAGATCTGCACACAAAGAAAAAGATGAAAATTTGTAAGCAAGTAACACATAAGGCACCCCATGGCACCTGCTCTTACAGTCACAACACTGGAAGCCATCAGAGAAGAACATCCTAAACATTCCCTTTCAGTAACTGAAGTTAACTCCATTATATTCTCATTTTCCTCTGCCACAGTCCACATTACTTAGGCACGTAACTGGCCTTGCAATTAAAAGACTCAGTTTTCTGTACCAAACCAGTTTGGCCAAACTGGACTCTTCTCAAATACATTTGAGCTGGAAATTATTTATTAATATTTACAAGAAGCTGGAGAGGGACTTTTTTACAGGGGCATGTAGAGACAAGACAAGGGGGATGGCTTTAAGCTGACAGAAGATAGATTTAGATTAGATATTACAAAGAACTTGTTATTGTGAGGGTGGTGAGACACTGGCACAAGTTGCCCAGGAAGTTGTGGCTGCCCCATCCCTGGCAGTGTTCAAGGCCACGTTGGATGGGGCTTGGAGCAACCTGGTCTAGTGGAAGGTGTCCCTGCCCGTGGCAGGGGGTTGGAACTGGATCCCTTCCAACCCAAACCATTCTGTGATTCATAAGATTCTATGAAACAAACTGTCCAAATAACTTTTCCCAGAAGATTCCAAGAGCAGTGTACCGTGCGGGTGCCCCGCCACAGCAGAATGCACGGCCATTCAGACACTTCAGCAGCAGCATGGCTGCATTAGTACACTATTTTTCCTGTGGCAATACTCTCCTAAGCAGCTAGGTGACCAAAGCAGACCACACCATTAACAAGGCTATGAAGAATGTGGGTGAGCTTAAGCTTGCACAGCGCTTCACTGAACTGTGTAAATGTATACAAAGTACCTACGCATCTGATAAGATTTGATTCTACAGAAGCATTTGTCTTAGTACAAGGTCAAATCATTCACTCTTAGCGATCCGCTTTCTATAATCTTTACTAAAGAATTGAAGGAATTATCCTAAGTAAGGTTGAAAAATGAAAGGGGCTTTATTTAGGTTCTGTTAAAGCATTTAAGAATCTCCCTTTATAATGCTTACTACCCAATGACTCCCCTTTAGATGTGTAATTTCTCTGAGTTCAATTATAATTCTATATACACAACTCACACATACAAGTAGATGTTTACATTTATTACTACTCATTATGTTTGACCACATACACAAAGATGTCTTTTGGGAGGAGTGTCAACATACTTAATGAAGTATGAGGTTTAAATCAGACCTGCTGGTGCTGCTCCTAGGTAACTGGCATTGTACAGTGCCAGGTCAGTGTGTCTACACTGTGACAGCTTGATAGCAAGCAAGGAAAGAATGACTTGAGATAAGAAACTTCCATGCAAAGTGTTGTTGGTGGTTAAGAAATAATGTCTGAGCTATTAACCAGGATAAGTCTTACCTGTCAGTGTCCTGTGAGCATAACTGTTTGCTTTAGAGATCAAAAGTTTTTTAACTAGACATTTAAAAATTATCATCACTTTTGTCCAGTGACTCATAAGCTACTGCTGAGAAGCATGCACAGTTACATATAAAGGGAGGAAGAAGTAGGCCTTCCAGTCTCCCATCACAGGTGACATCTGAGCAAGACAAGCATCTCAATTTTACAATCCTCTCCCACGAGATACTGCGAACCCTCTGGGCAGGCTGAATAATGCTTAGGCTTGAGACAACTAGTCACAACATTCACCCTTTGTCAGAGGCAGCAGGAGAGGAGAACTGCTCATGCAGAGCGCAGCAGACACAGTTGATGCTCCAGGGTCTGTAGCTCAGTATCTCCCCTGAGAATGGAAGAATTAAACAATTCCATCTCAGGGAAGGTGAAAACATGAGTCCTGACACCAGAGCCATACACCTGGAGGGACCACAGAAAACTCCATGATGCAGTTTACCCTTGGACCTTAACACCAACCTGTACGGTAGGATTAATGTCCATATACTGATGGCACTGCTCACAGTGGTGGAACGTATTGTAAGCTGCATATTTAGTCAACATCATGGACACAGTCTCCCTTTTCTTAGGTTCCTCTGATTTGGTTTCTTTACTTGTTTCTGTGCACAAACAAAAGAAGTAACAGAAATATTACAAGTGTTTAAAACCAGAAATGTGATCCCAGTAACAACTGTCAAGAACACACAAATTGTTTTGTTCTGTATAATTTTGGAGATTAAAGGCTCTTGTGAACACATGGGTTCAACTGAACCAATAAGAACTGATTCTTTGTAGGAAAGTATTCCTAAAAAACTCTACATTTTACCCACCTTGTTTCACTCTTGAGAGTTGTTCCGTGTATACGGGACTTACAGTTCTGTACTTGGGGTCATGTACACTCAGGTCAAAAGACATTTTGCTGAAGCTCTCGATGTCCGGCCAGTGGTCATTGCTAGACTGGCTAATTTCACTGTTCTCTGTATGATCTGCAACAACACACTTCGGGTAAGCAGTAGCAGATACTCCCTGAATGGTGTTTACATGATGTTTGCTGATCTGCGATTGCATAGGAACTCACACAGGTGCACACAGAGACGTCTTTGAACATCATATATATTACCAAAATTGAAATTATAATCCATACAAAGCCACTTCAAAGAAATGGCAATTCCTTGGAAACTGCATGCAGGTGAAGAAGCCTCATAGGTATCTTCTTTCTGCTCTGCTCCTTACTGAGCTGCTGAGGTATAAGTCACTCTGGTTTAAGCATAAAATGCTCAAATGAATGGCCCTATTTGTGCAGAAGATACAGGCGTAGTCTCAGTCTGCTTTGTGGTGGAATGAGGAGCACTGGGTAAATGAGAAGCAAAGTATCCAAAGGCAGAAGGAAGGAAGCAAAGAGAAAGAAGTTGTGCACATTTATGAACTAGTAGCTGGTGTTACATGACAGACAGCAGGAGACACTCTTCTGTTACAGAACAGTATATGGCCAGCAAGGATCAACTTGAACTTCTTTGATCCAAATCTAAAGTAGAAAATCAAGTTTAAGTAATGAGCACATAAGAAAGCACTGGCCAAAGAAAACAACTTTGGACTGCAGTTGAATGTGAGTCAATCAGTTTAAAATGAGATGCAAGAACACACAGAAGTCGGTGTGTAACTGAGGTCACTGATTTTAGAAAAGCAAATTCAGGTGAAACGAAGGTTGGGTCTACAGACAGGCACATGCTCACCCTGCCCTGACTGACACAATAGGATGTGAGCCAGCAGCAGTTTAGAGTCCATTAACCTCCCTGACACTGTGTTACGCTCGAATTAACATCTGGCTCAGGTCAGGTGAGGCGTTTTAGTTTGTCCATACAGACGAATCCTGAGAAAGCTCAGTCTAAGTCAGCTGGCCTGAGAACACCAGGGACTTGCCCATGAATGAGACTTGGACTTCTTGCAATTGCAGTTGCCAAACAACCAGTAGCCAGCATGTCAAGCAAAATAAAAACATGAGGCGGAAGGGGCTTCAGAGGGTCTATACCAGAAGGACACTAAGAACAAACAAAGTCCATGAGGAATGGAAAAAGCTCACGAGTGAAAGAAGTTTTATCTTAAACATCAACAGAGTGAGGCAAAGAAAAGCTTTGTCAAATGTCAAGAGGAGGTAGACCTCAGAAAAGTGGATGAAAATAAATAATCGTTTTGCTATATCACCTTCACTATATAAATTAATAAAAGGTTTACTATAAGCCAAGATGGAAGCAAAACTAAAAGCTTGATACACACTCGAAACAGAGAGAAGGAATAATCTCCATGCCAGTTTTCTGAAAGAACAGGCATGTGACATGTGGCGGGAGACTGGCTGCAATGCAAACATAAAGTATACATTATCACCATTTAAGAGAAGACAATAATCTATAGAGCTCTGGTTCCATTACTTTGACCTTGGTAATATTCAAAACTTGGTGAGGGTGAAGGAAATAATGAAAGATATTGAAGTAAATGAAAAATATAGTGAAATGCAACTGAAGAAATCAGTTGCTTGACTGAAGAAATCCTGTGTTACTTTCATGATACAGCTATGATGTACCTATTTCTCTAAACAAAGGAAATACAACACATCTTATCCTTCTTAAGTATTTGATATGATACTACATGACAAGGTATTAGTACAGCTGAAGACAATGGAGACAGTGAATGGTCCGTAAACTGAAAAAGTTGATTAAACAGAAGATGGCAGCATGTAACACCATAAGCATTAAGGCATATGGAGATTACCAATGAAGGTAAAAGGTCAGAGGAGGGACATACCGTTTAATATTTCCCCTAAAGTCACCAACTCAAAAAACCCTATTGGCTTAAGTTTGCTGGTGGCACATTCTAAGAGTCACTGTCAATATGGGGAAGGAATCAACGATCATCCACAAAGAATTCAACGTGCTCAAAACCAGTTCCAACAAAAACCGGGTGATATTTAACATTAAAAATATGAGTCATATGTACAATCAATGACTAATAACAAGCATTTCTGCAGCAGGTTGTGAGCACCTCGGTTGGAAATGACTGAGTTGCAGAAGAACCCACAAGCACAAGCTACATATCAGTGCCAGGGAAATGGGAGAATGGAAAAGATAAGTGCAATCATTGGTTTCATCAGTCATGGGGCTTTCAGTGGGGGCAAGAGAACACACAAGCCAACCCAGGAGTACAGTGGGTTGGCTACGCACCCCACAGAATGCCACACTCAGTTCTGGTTACCCATGTACCAAAAGGATAAATTGAAATTTGATGTGCAGGCAAAGAGCTACTAAGGAGAATGGAGAGCCTGTCATTTGTGAGGATCCTGTATGAAGATCCAGGCTACCTAGATGAATGCTGACAGAGGGTAAAACTGCTATCTGACTACACCATAGAAGTAAACATCAAAGAAGAGAAAAAGTATTTTAATTTAAATTATTATTTTCTTTGGTCCAAAAGAGAATGTTTATAACTGGGACAGGAACATCTTTGGGTTGGAGAATAAAATAATATTTTCAATCATCAGAATACTAAGGCTCTGGAAAAGCATTCCAACAGAAGTAGTGGGAGCAAAAAAAAGCCACAACCAAAACCACAAACAAACCCAGACAACTCTTCTGATGGAGTTCCATGCATTCCTAGCTGGGGTGTGACACATCAAGCCAGACAGCATAATGCAGAACTTCTTTTACATTTTGATATTTCATCCGAAGTTTCTGGGGTACTTCAGTTCAAATAATGAGGGAATAACAGCCCCCAAAGCTCCAAATCAAAGGAAAATATATTTGTTCTTCACTTAATAGCATTTTCTGAGCAGAAATACAGATCAGTCTTTCCAAAGGTTTGACAAGAATGACATTTTCAGGATGCTAGTCTAATGGTCATGAGATTTATGCACCATGGTGTTCTTTTCACTACAAAACCACAGAGTTATGTAAATAACACCCTGAAGAGGACTCATTTCTGAAAGGATTTGTGCTTCTAAAGGCGAATTCCTGCCACAGCAGTTAATGGATCCGTGAGAGCCATCAAATGAGCACAAATCCAAAGAGGTTCCCCCTCCCCTTTTTCCTCAGCATAAGATCTGTAAACTGCAGACAGAGAACAGTCTTACTGAAAATTTGCATTTAATTTATAAATAAACATAAATAGTAAGAATGTTTTAGCCAGAAACTAAATGTTCGTAAATATCCTGTCTGCTTAAAAGCAACCGGTGCTTAAAAACTAGCAAGGAGTGAGAGCATGAGCAGATCTTGCCCATTTACAGTTCTGTGTTCACTTTCATTTTAGTGTTATCCAAGTATATCGATCCAAAACACGTGTAATAGTTCTCAGCTAAGCCAAATATAAAATTTATGGGTTTATATAATATATATTGAAATACACACAGACACCCACAGTAAGTCTAGCTACACACTAATGGACAGGACAAGTGGTAGGTCTAATTTATAGTCTTTCTGTGAGCCTAAAAATTTGTCACTGCTGAATAATACATAACAGAGGCTCTTTATAATATATATTAAGAACGATTACTAAATACTTACTGGCATTAATTTCTTCTTCATCATACACATCTACTTCCAGCAACCGGATCAGCATGCGGAAGAGAATCCTTAGGAACTGCAAGTATGAGCCGGTCTTTCCCACCTGAGCCAGAGATGGAAAGAAGTCTAAATCTCAAATCAGACTAACACGAAGGAAGGCTACATTTCAGGTAAATGTCTTTAGGTTCACCCCATTCTAGCTCTGCCTGAAAACATAACAAGACATAATATTCCCCATTATGATGAAGAGTATTACAAAATTGACCCGCGAGCACAACCTGACCCACAGCCTGTATCACCTTTGCGTGCAGGGAGATGGGCAGTGATAACTGCTGCCCTACCGATTGCTCATGGCAATTTTATGCCCAGTATCAGCCACATGTATTTCATTTAGGCTAAAATACGACGTACAGCATCACCCCTCCTCTCCTTATCACTTCTGGCATGGACTTAACCTTAAAATTTGACTGATTTTTGACGTCAAAACACACTGCTGCATGCAACCTTGCAGGGTGCCTTTACAGTATGAGCTGCAGTACTCATCATTGGTCTCCAATCCTGCTAATAAGGCAAGAGGAAGGAACTGTTCTCTTACTTGCGGTGGTCCTGTCAAAAGCAGCCGCCTGGGGTGAAAACTCCTTGAGCCAGACGCCTCGCCCTGATTGCTGAAGTCCGCGTGGTGCTGTCGGGCTGTCGTCCACTGCCTGTAGTAGAGAGACTGTTCTTCACTGCTCATGTCCTTGTGAAGCAAAGGCCTCAGAGAGCCTACCCAAGACACGTCAGCGTGAGGCAGGAGCGACGAGGACGAAGGCAAATTCCCACTTTTTTGTGAGCTCAGGAGACAATAGGCAGCTTTTGACAGGATGACGATGCGTGGCAGCGCAGCATGGAGCGCCTTGCTGTCTTTGGCCGAGTGGGCAGGCCACTGGAACGTCTGGGAGACCGAAGACAGCGATGACAGTTTTGAAGTGGTGCTGCTCGCCATCTGGTTACCCAGGGAGTCACATTCTTGTTTCAGGGTCTCTCCAGCTGTGAAAGTTCCCTCATCTACTGAGCTGTGCGCCACAGTCTGAAAGTTAAGTGAGGGTGCTTGCTTCTGAGACTTGTCCGCAGTGCTTGAGGAGCTCACACCGTTGTCAGCCAGAGAACCTGGGGAAACAGAGAGCAGGCAATGAACAGATACTGGCCAGCATAAGAAAATCATGAACTCATCTGATCTATGGGACAATCCCAGCATACAAATACTTCTGTTCAGTGAGCGCTGCTGTGGCTTAGGGCAGTGAAAAGAAATCATTGACATCTGTCTGTCCCTCTTGCTGGAGAGGCAACAGCCCTTCTGCTAAGGTTCAGAGTCCAAATAACAACAGTCCCAATCCCAATCTCTGAATGTTAACTATCATTTCCCTTTTGGGATTTGGAATTTCATGGTTCGACTTTCTAAAATTCAAGTGTAATATACCACTGTATACATAGATCAACTTGACCTTCCTTTCTATGGAAAACAGAGTATTCGTTTCACTGCAACTTTAATGTGAGCTTGGCTATGCTCCCTCCTCCATACCAGTCAGGTTTAGTTAGTGTATTGGAAGATCTGGTGCATGGCAAAGATACAGTTCAGCTGTCTCAATACCTTGAACTTGTAGGGAA